AATTCAGGCAGAAAAAACAACCACTTGGGAGAATGTCTGTTACAGTAAACAGGTTCTGATGTATCTGCACATTACTTCTCTTTTTCCTATTTGTAACACAGTTTAATGTATGTAATTCTGCTGCGAAGTTTAAACGTGCCCGTTTTAATCCACACACAAAGCTTCTGTGTCCTTGATCTAAATTTCTTAGCCAATATAACTGCATTCAATAACAGACTGGCTGGCCTCTGTGTCAGCTACGAAAATGGCACAAGGTAGGGCGTCTCCATATCCTTGGGATGCTCCACAGGGAAATGCCAAAAGGAAACACACACACACCCCTCCCCAGAAATGACCACTATGATGAAGTGACTAGAATGTCAAGCTGGGACTTGGGAGACCCGTATCCAAGTACTCCCTCGGACAAGAAGCCCACGGTGTGACTGTGGGCCAGTCTTTCTCCCTCAGGCCAACCTACCTCGCAGGGATGTTGAGAAGATGATATTGGAGAGAGGAGAGCCACGTAGGCTGGCCTGAGCTCCTTGGTGAAAGACAGAAGAGTTTGCCCCGGAAGGGATAGAGTGTCGAGAACAGGAGGGGGACAATCATGCTCCTCAATCCTGTAAGAGTTTATAGAATCCTGTAAGAGTTTATAGAATCCTGTAAGAGTTTATAGAATCCTGTAAGAGTTTATAGAATCCTGTAAGAGTTTATAGAATCCTGTAAGAGTTTATAGAATCCTGTAAGAGTTTATAGAATCCTGTAAGAGTTTATAGAATCCTGTAAGAGTTTATAGAATCCTGTAAGAGTTTATAGAATCCTGTAAGAGTTTATAGAATCCTGTAAGAGTTTATAGAATCCTGTAAGAGTTTATAGAATCCTGTAAGAGTTTATAGAATCCTGTAAGAGTTTATAGAATCCTGTAAGAGTTTATAGAATCCTGTAAGAGTTTATAGAATCCTGTAAGAGTTTATAGAATCCTGTAAGAGTTTATAGAATCCTGTAAGAGTTTATAGAATCTGACTCTTCGGCTTTGAAACGGAGATGAGCACTGCAACCCTAGAGTCGGATTCGACTGGCTTTCGAGCAAGGGAACCTTTACCTTTAAGAGTTTATAGAATCCTGTGTTTATGGAATCTCAGGTCAGGAGACTTTTGAAAGGTGGGAGGTCCAAATTGCCTTCCTCCAGCATTTCCTTACAGGCCCCCAGCTTGTTTGCATTTATTTTTTAAAAATAACAGATGAACAGTTTTCAGCTTCATCAATAAAGAAAAAGGAGGGACAAGAACTCTCAGAGAGGCTGGTGTTTTGACCCAACAATCAGCAGCTGATGTTTTTGGTGAAAGGCCATGAAGACATCCTGTTTGAACTGTGTCAGTAAAAGGAACCGTCTGTGTTCTTAATCTGATGGGTCCAAAAGGAATTTTGGTCTCCATGCCGTATTTGCAGCATCAGAGTTTGTGAAATGAGAATCCATTTTTTAAAAAATATTTCTTTTCTTCCCAACAGATGGAGGAGATAGTTGGGCCAAAAGAGTGCTGAGACTCGACCGATTTGTTCTTTTGCCCGCCGTGCACCCCTTGGGCCTCCCTTCCTCTGTTTTAATGAAGAAGGGCTGTTTCAATTAAAAGAACCTAAGACTCTTCCCTGCATCGAAACCAAGGAGGAATCGCCCACCCTCGTCAGCACACAGAAACCGGTCTTGGAGGGAGGGGGCTTTTCCTGTGGCCTTTCACTAGCCTTGCCCCCCCACATCCAGTTGCCCCCCCCCCCCCGTCTGTGTCACCTGTCCAACTGCGGTACGACAATTGAGAGCAACAAGAGGTCCCATGTTCAAAATCTTGCCTGACTTGTTAGTTCACATTTTAGGCAAGGCCCAGTTCAATCCACCTGGGCCCCTGAGCCGCACTGTGGAGATAATGTGGGCTCCCCTTGCCGGGTGCTTGTAAAAGCTGCAGAGAGAAGGGACGTGGAAGGGCTTTGGGTACTCAAAAGAGTCCTGCAAGAAGCTGGTTTGCTCCGGCGGGAATGGTCTGAGGCAAAGAAACAGCACTCTGCATCTGCTCCGAGGCACTGAACCTTGGCAGTGGGGAGGGATTCCAGGGCAGATAAAGCCCTTGGGGGCCTGTCCCCTTTATGACCTGGATTAAGCCTCTTCCTCTTCCTGTTCGGGGCCTGCATACAGAGGGCCAAGTGGAGAGGAGGCTGCCTCTCTCTCCCCGACCAGGCGCATGTCCTCATCTGACCCTCCTAATCAAAAGTGAAAGAGAACGCCTCCCCCCCCCCCTTTCCTTTTTAAACAAAAAGCAGCATGGTTAGCCGGCTCAAGAGAGTTATTGAAGCTGGCGTTTATTGAAAGCACCTGCTAAGATTTACCAGTTTTGCCAAAGACGTTCAGGATAACCTTTGGCTCGGACCAGAAGTCATGTGGTGCTGCATCTTGGTAGCAACCACAGCCAGCATCTGCAGAGCAAGGCATGAATGCAAGCCCCCACACCCCAGACCTTCTGCCCAGTGTCTGGCGTTCTGAGGTAGAGTGCCTCTGTGTATGGAGGGTCCATTTAGCTACATGAATGTTTATCTGATCCCTTCCGGCAGCTGCATAGGATGGTGGAGGGGCTATTGACGGAGAAATACCTGGCTCCAGATCTCCATTAACTGGCTGGCACTGCTCCCAGGAAGATGAAGAAGAAGGAGCCTGTCTGGCTAAAAAGCAGGCCCATGCCAGAAGTACCAGGTCATCTGGTGCTCCTTGGCCTCCTTTCTTTGGGTTCAGAGGCAAGAGCATCACTTTTTCATGACATTTAATTTCTCTTTGTTAAGTGTAAAATGAAATATAAATATTTTAAGATATGTGTAAGTAGTCATCACTAGTCTTCTCTATCTGTCTGGCAAATCGTGTGCGTGTTTGGAGAGCCAGTTTGGTGCAGTGGTTAAGTGCGGGGACTCTAACCTGGGAGAACCGGGTCTGATTCCCCACTCCTCCACTCACAGCTGCTGGATGACCTTGGTCAAGCCATAGTTCTGTCAGAGCTGTCCTTGAAAGGGCAGTTCTCTCAGAGCTCTCTCAGCCCCACCTACCTCACAGGTTGTCTCTTGTGGGGAGGGGAAGGGAAAGGAATTTGTAAGCCGCTCTGAGACTCCGAGTGAAGGGTGGGATATAAATCCAATCTCCTCTCTTCTTCTTGTTTTAAAGCTGTTTTCTCACATGAGTATTGCTACATCTCAGTGAGTTCCATACGTTGGCTATGTGGAAAAATACTTCCTGCTCCTATCGTACTGCTTAGGGTGACTTCTGATTTCCAGTATTATGGATGAGGGAGAAAAATGTCATTCCGTAAATTCAAATGTTTCGTAAGCTCTTATTCCCAGTTTTCCCCCCCTTAAATTAAAAAGCCTGAAAGGCTTCTACCTCACCCAGGAGCCTTTCTGAGAAGGGTGAGGGGAGGATGGTCCACACAGCTTGCAAAGGTACAATGTTGATAATAGAGACGAGAATTCGAAACCTCCGTTCCCTTCTTCCCCCCGGACGGAACAGGTCTTGCACCGCTTGCTTGCCTTCTCAAACGTATTTTATCTGCTTGGACAGTGCAAAGCCTGCTGGCTCTTCTCCTAACCTGAGAAGCTTCCGGGCAAACACATTTCTTTTCCTTCCCTTTTGTGGCATCGATGCGCAGATTATGTGTGCGTTCCTTGTAACTTGTGAGCAGGACTGGTGGCTGGCCTCGTTCTGGGAGTTAATTTCCCTTTCCTAAAATAGACGCTGTAGCCCTCTCTCCAAGACTGGTCCTCACCAAAATGATTCATTGGCTCCTTCTGTGTATTAATCTGCTGACTGGGGTTTGTGTCCCTCCTCTCAGCCAGGGCTAACCCCTCTCAGAGTGAGTGATAACCCAGCTTTCTCTGGGGACGGGCGCCCTCAGGAGGGCTCTAATTGTGCGCCACAAGCCCTTGTCACAACCTGAGTCTTCCCTCATGAAAGAATCGTTTTTTTAAGAAAATGTCACCTGGGCCTGCTGAGCACAGGAGACCTTGAGGCCATTTTTCATCCCCCTCAGGGTTAGGAGCAAGGCTATAGCTGTGTTTTCCACATGGTCTGCATTTTACTTTTCATTAAGGCGAACCTTTTTTCGACTTCGCCAGACCTTTTCCTCAGGCTGGATGTTACCCAAAAAAGTGACTTAAAAAAAAAAAGAGAGGGAAATTCCTCAGGATATGATGCTGAGCCCTGGTCACGCCTGCCTTGTGCTTTACATGCCGAGATGCCTCAAACGGTGCTGGGTTCAAATTGAGTCCAGCTCTTAGGGGAAAGAGGAAATATACCCATTAAACTCCCTAGGCATTAACAAAGGCCAGCAAGTGTCTCTAATAAAGGCCAAAATCATGTGTTCTCCTGATTCACATGACACTTGCAGCAGTGACAGTCGGGGGTGAAGTCCCACGCACCATTAATACTTGCATTCAAGGGTAGGAGCTGAGGAGGCAATCCTAAAAACACTTTCCTGGGAGTAAGCCTCATTGAATAGGCCTTAGTAGAATTCAGAGTAGACCTGCTGAGGATTGTTCTACTACAGCCAATTTGGTGTAGTGGTTAAGTGCGCGGACTCTAATCTGGGAGAGCTGGGTTTGATTCCCCGCTCCTCCACTTGCACCTGGCTGGATGACCTTGGGCCAGCCATAGTCCTGGCACAGCTGTTCTTGAAGAAAAAGAGCAGTTTCTGTCAGAGCTCTCTCAGCCCCACCTGCCTCACAGGGTGCCTGTTGTGGGGAGGGGAAGGGGAAGGAGTTTGTAAGCCGCTCTGAGACTCCTTTGGGTAGAGAAGGGCGGGGGTATAAATCCAATCTCTTCTTCTAATTGCAAGAAATACTTTAAACAAAATTAAGGAGGGGTTGATAATATATTGAGAGGGAATTTGGCTCCGAGGGTTTAGTGAAAGGATGTGGCTTGTAGTTTTGGTTATTGAGGTTATTGATTCTGCTGCATGGGGGAGGAAGCTGGCCTGCCAGGGCTATGTTCCTACCTCAGGCTTCCCGTTACAAACTCTCCTTTTCATACAACTGAACGTGGAGTGAAGGGCAAGGGTTGCCTGCTACTGAGAAAACTGGGACCTGCCCAAGTCTGTTTTGGTGGATTATATCCTCAGTCTTCAAGATTCCATCTGTAAAATGGGGGTGGGGTTATAAGAAAAGTCTGGCTAGGGACCAAGAGCTCTACGGTTTGGACCCTGTGCGTGCTGC